CCGTGTGTCGTCCCCCCCCGGCTTCGCTCCGCGCCCCTCCGCTCACCGACACCAGGAACTCCAGCGTGCCCACGTAGTCCCGCTCGGTCTTGAGCAGCTCGTTGAGGACGCAGACGCGCAGGCGAAGCTGCTTCTCCAAGTCCTTCCCGCTTTCCCCCTTGCCTTCCCCTTTGCTTTCCTCTGTCATGGTGCAGCGAGGAGGAGCGGCGCTCCCAGCCCGGCGCCCTTCCCGGCTGCAGGCAGCGCTGCCTGGGCGCCCCGGCACTGCGCTGCGGACAAGGACAACAAAAGACCCCGCTGAGTTACATCGCGGGGCCGGGCTCCGGCCGGTCCCCAGCCGCGCAGCAGCCTCAGCCCCTTCTCACCCCGCTCCAGCGGCCGCCCGAGGTCCGGAGGCGAGGAGCCTCCCCAGTGCGTGCTCCTTTCCCGTCAGGAAGGGGACACAGCCTGGAGGAAACGAGCGGTCACTGGTTCCCAGCTCGCCCTGTTAGCTGAGAGGTTGGAAAGCCTCCGCAGCAGCACAGACTTGGACATTAATCAAAAGCTTTGTATCCATGTGACTCCAACCCCTTCCCTCCCCCCCCGCTAAATCTCAGGAAAAAGGAAAGGAAACAACTTCAGGGAAGATTGCGTGCCAGCAGCTGCCTGTTTCACACACAAGCTGCGAGCTCCAGTTTGAGGCTAATTGGAGATCTCCAACAACAGAGCACAAGAATTATAAAAATGTCCCAGCAATCTGGCTGGCCAGGGAATCAGCAGTTGTTTTTGTTTTGGTTTAATCATCAGCAAAAGAGCCGTTTCAACTTCCTCTTCCACACCTTCCCACGAGGCGTATATTACAACGTACATCACAACTGACATGTATTACAAATTCGTGCTTTGATATTCTTCTGAACAAACTAAGCATGTGGATGAGTTAAGTAGGTACAAACAGTATATTCTACAATAGGTACAGAAAAGTTCCTTCAAGGCGGGGTTTGTTTTAGGGTTTTTTGATTAATGAAATGAGGTGCTATCAAATCCCCAGGTTATGCAGCTTTCCTGCCTGCATTGGAAGTTCAGATTTGCAGGAGACATTAAAAGAGTAAAAAAGAATTCAGTAACCTTTTAAAACTGTTAGCCAGAAGTATGTAGCTACTTTACACAAGAGGAATGGATTTCTTGAAAACTGAAATATGTGAGGACATTACCATGTGAATTTTGAGACCACTGTTGCAAGCTGAAGGTTTCTCTGGCCAGCTCTTCAGTCGGTGACTGGAAAGAAAATCCAGGTATTCAATTTCAAGATTCCATATCAAAGTATCTTTCTCAACCAGCAACATCCTAAAAGGAAAGAAATAAAATGGAAACCAGGGTGTAAAACTCTTCTACAGCCACAGAACAAGCTGAGGCAGCCAGAACAGTCCTTACTGGGAGAGAATAAGCAAAGACATTTGTGTTCTGGTAACTAGACATCATCTAGCTGTCTGCCTCAGACATCTGCTGGGAAATAGAGAATACAGTTCCCACAAGATGTTTCTCAAAGAGCAGAAATAAAAAAGCCTGTTTCTTTGAATGTTTT